AACAAACAAAAAACCCCCAACAAAACAAAGAAAAGCCCAAAACACAAACTCCTCAACTTTACAGTTGCAGGAATAGTAAAACTTCTAAGATACTTATCTGCATTGCTGTGCCTTTCACTGCAAATCAGATTAATCATTTGTTATGAGCACTTTAGAGAATGAAGGTGTGTTAGAATCTAATTTGCTTTTATAATGGAGGAAAATGAACAATATTTGAGTATCAGGCCAGGAGTTTAAGGATTGTTTGAAAAGATGGTGTAGATTCTGAGAAGTCTCACAAAGCCCTGTTTTTAGGACAACTCAAACATATGCAATGGAGAGAAAAATCCACTAATTAAACAAAATTTTTTAAAAAAAGACTATCATTGTAGTTTTTCCAGAAAAAGTTTGACTTCCACTGAGTCCATATTATCTAGATCTTTTATGAATTTAGTCTGAAAGTTGAGTTTTTAAAAGGGAAGTATAACATAAAACTCAGTGATTGTAACTTTTCTTTCTTCCTTCTTGACTAGGAACCTCCTGAGTTGTATACAAGAGATAGATTCTAGGTTGACCGCTGACAGAGAATATAATGTAGCATTTCCTCCTCAAGACAGTATTCAACACTGGACTGACAAACTGCAGCAACTTTCCATGCAGTGCATGATGGCTCTCGAGGAGCTGTCTTGGTTTATACAATGCTGCCCAAAAGAAGAGTTAACGAAGTGCAGTGACAATGAAAGGACAGATGTCAAAACAAACATTTTCCAGAATTCAGGACCTGAAATGGGAAATGTTTTTACGGGAATACCTGACCTCATTCCCTCAGAGCTAAAATACTTGTCTCCAGTAACAATTGAGCAACTGCCTCCTGGATGCAGGATGCGAAATAAGGATCAGTTATGGCTGCAGCTAGCTACACAATTGACTGCGATGCTGGCAAATGTGAAGACAATGAAAGCAGAAGTGGACAAAATAAGACAGCAGCCATGTGAGACATTGTTTTATTCCTGGTGAGTTCTACATGTGCATGAAATTGAATCTCTGTATGTTTTATGTTCATATAAGTTATGTGAAGTAATCTTTAAAATGTTTGCATTCTTAAAAAGTGGGTTCAGGTGCTCTTGAAGCTTGTTTCTGCTTGTTTTTCTTGCCAAATGCAGTGCATGGCTTTTCAAACAAATGTATGTGTCTTCTCCCACTTCCCTGACAAGTCAGAAAAAAATTGGTCTGCCTCAGCTTCTCAGTTTGTCTTTGGTCTCCTGGGATTTCAGCCCCATAGCTCCTTAGTTAATGAGGTGAATTTCAAATATCAATTTAATGAAGAAATTTTTATTTTAAAAGAAATCTGTAGCCTATATGATAATAATAACCCTCTCATTTTCTCTCCGCTTCAAACAGCGTGAGTGTAAGTGGCACACCTGCTTGTTGTCAAACTTTTTATTTAATAAGTTCAAGATGGAGATCAACTGCCTCCCACTCATCCATGCCCCAAGAAAAGGTTTAATCTTAAATTGAACTGTTTGTTCTTTCAATATTATGGTATTTCTTGTTGCAGGAGAGATTTTGAAGTTTGCACATCAGCTATGAGTTGTTTGCTGGAAGTCTCAGCTCAGTTACAAGGCATAGAGTCCCTGTTTCTTCCAAATGGGGAAGACGGGCAAGCTGCAAATCAGATGGCCCTAATCAAGAGCCTAAAGTATATACAAGAAGAAATTAATAACACATCTGCAGATTTCACAGCCTGGAGAACACAGCTTCTTGCTTCCATGTCAAATTGCAGTGGTAAGGACAATTCTTCTCTGCCTGTTTTGTAATTTAGATAAAGATATAAGAATTCATTAGTTTGGTTATTGCAGAAGATGGCTCTATGTTCATTTGGATATCCTGAAACACTTGATGAAGTTCAAACTTGTAAAATATAGTCCAGACTTAATTTGTGCAGTAATATTTTTTCCCCCTTAGTCACTGCTGATGACACATCTTACACCATAGTTGTAGGTCAGGATTAGCAAGGAGATTTTAGTAGAACTATGTAGTAGAAATTGCATAGTGCTTATCATGCTCTTTGCATAGGGGAAACATAGTAACCTGTAATTTAATGCATTTCTATGTAAAACTGCCTGTGTTATGGTTCAAAAGGAAATCAACGGTCAGATGAAGAGTTTGTGGAGCACTTCTCAGCAAAAGTGGAAACTGTTATCCGTGTTGTTCTGTATGCCATCCAGTGTTTGGTAGAGAGAAAACACGAAGATGGAAAAGAGGAAGAAAAATCTCCAGAGGAAGATGGTAAGTTTGTTAATTTACTTAAGGGGGAGGAGGAGAGTTCAAACTATGCAAACCTAAAAATTCCTTAAACTGTGTGTCTAGCGGAGGTACCAATACACAAGGAAATTGCCATTTTAATAGAAGTTGTCTATTTAAACAGATAGGATGGATATTTCTAGATTTCTTGCTATAACACTTTTAGAATGTCTGACTTGATTTCCGTATTTTTTATGTATTTCAAACAAAGAGGATGCAGCCTCATTTGATGTGATTAAAGCAGGACATATTACTAAGCTTTTGGATGAAGATCTCTCTGCTGATTTGGATTCTTTGCATGTTCAGAAAGCAATTTTAGCAGTTTCAGAACTCCTCGAGAACCTGAAATTTTATGGGGAAGATTACACTTCAGATAAACATAAGGTAAAGTTGTTCTTTTCAAGAGTTTTTGGTTTAAGGGCTCAAAAGATTTGGAATTGCGAACTTTCGTGGTTAAACATGCATTGCTTCTTATTGTCCAATACCTTAGAACTAGAAGCATGTGAAGAAATTATGGCCAAATATGGGTACTCTTCTGTAGCGCAAAAGCCAGATGTTCCTTTAGCAAGAAGGAAACGTTTTAGTTTTTGTGAAAATCTAGAAAAAGCTCCGGAAGCTTTAGAAATTGTATTTAAACTCACCTCCTGATATTTCTGGTTTGAGCATCTGTTTTCCATCTCTATCGTTACCCTCTGAGGTGTGTCTCAGTATGTACATAATCATGTTTGACAGCTGTTTTTTGGTTCTAACTGCAGTTCTTCAACCAGTCCTGCTATTTGCTGGTGCGTCTAAAGCCCATGCTCTGCAAGTATTCAGACCTTATCCTGTTCTACCTCACTGTTTCACTGGCGTCTCACAGGAGTACTGGAAAATTGCTTTCTGTTCTAACTAGCATTTTTACAGAGCTTGCCCAAAAGGTACGTTATTAGAGATAGCAGTGGATATATGGTAAGCATATATTTAATGTGTACAAAAGTCTTCAGTAGAAACTAAGCTGAAAGATGTACTTGCTAATACAGAAAGTTTTGAGTTTCTGTTTGCCTTTGTAGGGGTTTTGTCTGCCAAAAGAATTACTTGAAGATGAAGCTGGAGAGGGAGCAACACAGTTTCATGATTACGAGGACGGTGGTATTGGAGATGGGGAAGGCAAGAAGGATGTGAGCGACAAAATAGAAAGTGAAGATCAGGCAAGTGTTTGAGGTTCTTGTTTAAGTCAAGTAAAACTGAAAAAGCCCTTGAAATCCATGTTTTGGATGCTTCAGGTAAAAGAAACATGAAGTTACCTTCAGTCTCCTGTTTAGGTTGGCTTTTATCTTTGCATATAAGCTTATAAATATTGTTGTGGTACTTTAAGTAAGCTTTAATATATAGGCAAGATCCATTGTAATTTTTTGCTTTACCAATAATTCAGATAGAAGACAGTTTTCAAAAGGGTGAAGAGAAGGAGAAGGAGGATCAAGACTCTAAACCAGACATTGAAGGAGAAGACAATGCAATTGAAATGTCAGAAGACTTTGAAGGAAAAATGCATGATGGGGAACAGGAGAAAAAAGGTTTGGTCCTTTCACTATAGCAAACTTACAAGAAATGTTATAGATCAATCCAATTATGGCTGATACTTTTACATAATTAAGCATATACTGAAAAGTCAGTGTTCAACAACAGAGTAGTGCCGTTTTGTATATGAATACTAAGAAGTATTAATATGAATGCTAAGAAGCATACAAAGAAAATACTCTTTCTCTTCTTTCACTGTGATGGTTTTGGAATGGAGGCTATTCTTTCTTCCTGTTGTGAGCTGACCTACAGACGCAGTTTAAAATTAATCACTGACTTTGTGGAGCTGTTGAAGATCAACAGAATACTTGAGAATATGGCTGTAGTTAACTTCAAAACATGACTAATGAAGCTATTGCTAACTTTTAAGCAATGAAAAGAATTT